TAAAGGGATTTACAACTGTTAGGCCAGCCCTACAGAGGAATTGAAGGAATACTTTACTATGAAAAGAATAATCAGACCCAAGAGGTCACAAGAGAATAAATAAACAATGTGAGACAGATATTCAATGAGACTCAGCACAAAAATCAACAAAATGACAGAAATGAATACATATCTTTCAATAATAACCCTAATATTAATGGTTTCAAATACTCATTAATGGGACACAAGTTGTCAGGTTGGATTAAAAACAAGAACTGTCTTTTTTGTGCTTCCATGAAACACATCTCACCATCAAAGGCAAGCATCACATTAAGGTAAGAAGATAGAAAAAGTTACTTCAAACAAAAGTACTTAAGAGAAAAGCAGGTCTATCTAATTTAATATCTGAAAAAATAGATTTAAAACTACAACTAGTCAGAAGAGACGAGGCACACTCTATCCTCATTAAATGGAAAAAACTGCCAACAGAATACTACACTTGTAAACATATACACACCACATGTGGGTGAACTCAATTACATCAAGAAATACTTTTAGAGGTAAAGCCACAGATTAACCCCAGCACAGCAATGGTAAATGATTTCAATGCCCCACTCTTAGACAGGTCATCTGGATGAAAACTAAAACAACATTCCAGTCACAGAGTAAAGAATACACATTCTTCTCAGCAGCCCATGGGACTTTCTCCAAACATGACTACATACTACGATATCGTGCAGGTAATTGGATGGTTACATTTGGAAGAACAAAACTCTGTCCATATCTATTACCCTATATAAAACTCAACTCCAAGTATATCAAGGATCAACGTAAGACTTTATACCCTGAATCTGGTAGGGGAGAAAGTGGAGATCTTGAACTCGATGACACAATAAAGGACTTTCTAAAGAGGATCCTGGGTAGAATATGTATTAAGACCAACAATTAATAAATGGGACCTCATTAAATTTAAAAGATTCTGATTCCAGTGAAGAGGCAGGATATAAGATGGAAGTCTTTACCAGATACACATCTGACAAAGGTTACTCTTTAGGATGTATAAAGTATTAAAAACAAAGCAACAAACCATGAGCATCAAGAAAATGAGGTACCCAGTTTAAAAATTGGACATGGAACTAAACAGAGAGTTTACAAAAGATAAAATACAAATGGCTTGGAAACATATTTTTAAATATTCAACACCCTTGGTCATTAAAGAAATTAAGTTAAAACTACATTGATATTTCATTTTACCCTAGTCAGAATGTCTAAGATAAAACAATACTCATAGCAAATACCGATACAGATGTTGGAGAAAGGGAAACCCTTATTTACTTTTGCTGGGAGTGATATGGAAACTAGTATGGAATTTCTTCCAGCATCTAAAAATAATTTTCCACCTGATCTAGCTATCCTACTCTTGGTCATATGCTCAAAGGACCATTATATCCTACTATAGAGGTACCTTCTCATCCATGGTCATTCTTGTTCTTTAACAATAGTCAGGACATGGAAACAGCTTAGATATCCATCAACTGATAAACTGATAATGAAAATGAGGTACACTTACACAGTGGAATATTACCCAGCTGTTAAGAAAAGTGAATTATGGAGTCTGCTGGTCAAATGGGTACAGCTGGAAACAATCATTCTTAATAATACAACCCATACCCCAAAATACAAATGTGTGATTCCTCCCATTTGGGGATGTTCTTTGAATCTTCTGATATATGTGCATTTCATCTGGAATACATACAAAGGTCAGAAGAATCAGTGAAGAGCCATAGGTGGTGGGGGGAGATAAAATGCAGTGGTATAAAATTTACAGGGAAATAATGAAACAAGATATGTTAAATTGGGGTAGGGATGAGAGGGATAACTCACATTAAAGGACTTCAGAAAAAAATCACATGGAAATCTACTGCTGTAGATGTTTCTGAAATATATACATAAAACAGTTTAAATAGAGTTACCCTACAACAGGGTGACTAGATACCACAGGCTAACAAAAAGCCCAGTGCTGGGAATGGGTTACCTCTGTTGGAATGTTGACCAATGAGGTCTCAGAGACCCCAAACATTATAGGCTATTGGTGATTTTCTTGGTTACTCTCCAAAGCATGATGGAAAGACTGTACATAATTGCTGAAAACACCACAGGCTTGAGTCAGAACATAGATAAATGAGTTGCCACCAACCCGGAGAAGCTAGCTATTGCTGAAAGGTGCTGTGCATCTAACAGTGGAGAAAAGAAATCATCAATTTTACCTATCTGTGAAATCTTGAGAGCTACAATGATTACTGGTCTGACAAGAAACTGATGCAATAGCCACACAAATGTCATAGGTTAACTACTGATTGGATTTCAAGTCTCTGTAAGACGATACCCATACCTGTCACCATTATCAGGGCCAAGACCTGTGGAGGAATGTATAACTAATATTCTGCTAAAGGCACATAGTATTAAACTACATCCTAATGATATCTGTATACTCATAGATTAATGCATGTCTCAACTCTCATCAGAGAAGCTTCTTTCTTCAGTAGATGGGGATGGACACAGATCCGCAACAGCTCAAGATGCAGAGAGCAACAAACTATGGAATGTTCAGCCATAAATAGAACATCTACACCACACATCTTCATACTGTGGATCAGAAATCATTGTGGAACAGGAAACAGAAAGACTGTGAGAGTCAGAGGCAAAGGATGACTACAAGGAAATAGTGTTGTCTGGACACAGAAGGCAGTTTCACATATGAACTCACAGCAGTTGTGACAGCATGCAAGTTAAAGTCACCCAAAATTCCAGCATGAAGAGGGAGGTGGGCATGAATGAGGAGCTTCTGATAACTGATAGCTGCTGGGGAAGAAGAGTCAATTTTACTTAAATATGGCCCCTCATAGGTCAACCTTGCTCCTGTGGAAGGCCACTTATCCAGGGCAATATGGGCAGCACAAATTTGACATGATGGGTTATTTAAAAAGAGGTCACAAAGCTAGGTAAGTATGGGAGGGGCTAGATCCGGGAGGAGTTGAGGGAGGGGATGAATATAATTAAAACATAATATACAAAAATTTCAAAGAACTAATGAAAATTACAGAAAAAATACTGTGGATGTTGTTCAGCCCGATGTGATTGTAGTGTTTCTTTAATTTCTGGAGATAGAATGTTTAAATTTGTGTACAGGTATAGATATTCACTAACTGGTTTCACTGGTTGGCACTTAGGAATCTTTCCCACTTAAGAGAGTGTCTCAAAAAAATGACTAATTCTTCTCCTGAGACTCCCTCTTCCTTTACATAGGTCTTCTACTTTTATTCCCACTCACATTCTTGATTATTTACTAGACTTTATCCAGATAATTATCTAGTCATATCAACCTTAGGAGTAATTATTCTTTCTAATTGTTTTATTAAATAATTTTTAAAGCCTTTTTGAGATAAGAACTCATTTCATAGCCCGGGCTGATGTATAACTTGACATGTAGTCCAGGCTGATCCTGAGCTTGAAGCTCCTGCCTCAGCCTCCCCAAAGGTTTTGAAGTACAGGTGCAAGATACTATGCTAGGTTTATTTGTCAAGCTACTGTTACTTATAAAAATTTTCTTATTCAGAATTTTTGTTATAACATCCAATTTGGACGTAGTGTTCTCCATTAGAACTTTCCAAGGATATTAATTTTTAAATTTTAAATATATATTCTGCACCTTACATTATCTCTGTGGCTTCTAAAGTTTATTCTGCTAATCTTGGCTTGTCTTTTTAATATTCCTAATGTTCTTAAATATTTGGTTACTGCTTTAATATTTATGAACATTTATGAATGAAGGACTGAGATGACAGCTGACAGAACTAATAAGAATTATCCTACAAGTACATGTATTAATTTTTAACTAATATGGTATTTTTCTTGCTTTCTAACTAATATTTAAGCTTCATATTAAATTTTTGTTTGAATTTTAATAGAAATAATATCGTACATTTACTGCAGCTTGCCACTTGGCTTAATACATTTGTGAAAAGTGGAAACACTGATAAACACATTATTTAAATAAATATTATTTTATATTGTTGTGTTGTATAATACATAATACAATATGAATTATCTTATTGCCCATTTTCCTCTAGATGAACATTTGAGATCTTCATCACTTTTTCGTTTATTTCTGCCTCGATAAAAATAGGGTTCAGTAATGATTTTGTAGCAGCAAAATCAAAATCTACTCCTAACAAACTTCACAACTCATTTTTCACATTTAGGATTACATTCAAGTCACACTTATTTTTTTATAGAAATTAATTCTTTAGAAAATATCCAGTGGCAAGAGTCTTTAAGAGAAACTGGAGACTGTAAAGTAAAAGTAAGAGAGGAAGCCTAGGTTTGGTGGCACAGACCTGAAATCACAGCTGTGCAGGAGGCTGAGGGAGCAGGGCCCCAAGTTCAAGGCCTGCCTGAAAACTGAGGACAGCCTGACAACTGAGCATGACTCTAAACTTGCAGGGCATGTTCCCAGCCTGCACAGGATCCAGATTCCATCCCAGAGACACAAAAGGAAAAGCAGGCTGGAGAGAGACCTTTAAAGGAAATAAAAAATGTATAAATGAAAACTAAATTAACTAATAAAATAGATTCTTCCAACAAATAAACCTTTGATCAACCTGTCATTAATGCTAAGAAAAGTGACCTTTTCAAGGACACCTTGCTGTTCCTGCTACTGTAACCCCTGGGAAAACAGCCAAGATCCCCCAATTTGTCCTCGCTGTAACAACAGAAAATGCAATGCAGTTAACTTTCTCATCACCTCAAAGACATTGCTGTTACCTTTGCCTAGTTTCAGGCTCACTTTTCAAAAGACCAGAAGAAAGCATTGCTGGAGAGCATTTCGGCATAAATATTTAGTCTTTCCTTTCTACACAATCACTCTGACCAAAAGGGAGTCAAAAGAAATTAGTAGTTGTGACAGCACTATTTGAGGGCTCACAGAGTTTTACAACAGGCAGGTTTGCAATCCCTTCTACCTTTGCATTTTCGATGCAGGGACAGAGAGCCCATGCTGCGCTGGCCTTCACATCTGGGTGTGGATTTTTGAGCAGGGACCACAACAGGCGAACTCCATCTAAGCGATCAATTATCCTGTGGAGAAGCCAAAAACAGTGGTGTGAACAGTAATCAGTAAATGGATGGGGAAAGTCAAGTGGCCCCCTTGGTCCCACAATTTTAGTTTCTCCCCAGACAATCTGCTGGGGTCTCTTTTGATCAGAACTCCCAGAACAGCGGGACTTACACACTATTGAATGGTCAAGTCCTCTGATTTCAGTTTCAATCTTCATGACCCCAAAAGCACACTGCTGCATGATAATTATGATTCACATAAACTAGAATCAAGCCACACAATGTCTTAGTTAGCTGTCCACAGACTGTTACTTCTATGTAAAAAGTACTGGCTCCTTCCATAATAACACCTTAAATCCTTCTCCAAAACAAACATTTATGCCTCAGAGTTGTGCACGTACCTTTTTTATTTGGTCTGTGTTTAATTGACTTACCTTACGGTATGACATATTTTAAACTCCTTCAATCCTAATCTAGCATTAGGAATTAAAACCATCACACCACAGTGCATCTTTTGTGGGGCACACAGAACACATAACTTGTTTTCCATGTGCTCCCTAGCACAGCAGACCTTGTTATAATTGCTTAAACATACTGTAATCAAAACAGATTCATGACTAACTGAAAAATGAATTATCATCAGAGCCATCTCTGCACCATCTGTCTTCTGTTTATGTGTCAATCAGTCCAGGGAACATAACCTTACAATAAGGTCCACAGAGTGCTGGGAGTGGAGGGAAAGGCCAAACAACCCTTAATGCCCTTCACAAACACGGCTTTGTTCACAAAGATGCATTAAATGCAAAGCAGATGAAGAAAGATAAGGACCGTCACAATTCCTTTGACTTCTCATCTCCGCTTCAGTAGAACACATGTAGTATTTAGCCTCCAGTAGAGTAACTTCTACTAGCTTTTAAACTGCCATTCAAAATCTTCCTGTGTAATTGACATTTTAAGAAATCTGCATTTCTTGATTACTTGAGATGAGTTTGCCAGGGGAAAATTATGAATTATCCAACAATCCCAAGTGGATTACCAGCAGCTTTGTGAAAGGGGCTATGCTAACAGCCTATAGCAAGATAGAAGATGACTCTTGAAAAAATTGCTCCTCCTACTGCAGCGATTGCTCAGCACTGAAGAACAAGTGCTGCTCTTCCAGAGGACTCAAGGTCAGTTCCCAACACCCAAGCTGGGTGGCTCACAACTGCCTACCTGGAATTCCAGATCTAGGAGACCCAGTACCCTGTTCAAGAACATACCAACCCTCAGACATAGGCATACATGCAATTAAAAAAACTAATTAAAATTTAAAGTAAATAAACAAGAAAGCAATCCAGGAAGTCAATCTCTAGTCTCCAAATGCACACTCACTCGTGCACACAGGAACATATACATGCACTATACACACACACACACACACACAGAGAGAGAGAAAGAGAGAGAGACATTATTTTCCTCAAGATTACAATTAGCTACAAAAGAAAAAAACACCTTTCAGTTCATTCTATAGCCTCAGATATTCACCAGTTGCCTCGTCACAAGGAATAAGGGTTATGATCTGTTACCGATGTCTTCAAAGATTTGGTAGAAGAGGAGTGATTGCACGGTATGAGGAAAATACCACCAAAACCATTTGTACACATGGGAACTGGTCGGGAGAAGTGAGCCCCACAAGTCAGCTGTATCCCTCCTCTGCTCCATCCCCAGCATGGAATGGCTGACTCCCAGGATTCCTATGTCAGTCACCTGCTCCTGGTAGTCACTCCCTGCTCATAGCTCTGCTGAGAACCAGCATGCCTGATGTACTCAGCTTCTCTCCATTCCCGTTCCTACTATAACTGCCCGAGAAGGCATGGCTGGATCTTCTGTGTAAGCTCTCTGAGAACAGTGACCCCGGCAGAGATGCAAGTTCAGCCCCTGATATCACCTTGCACAAGGCTCCATCAACCCTGCTGAGCAATTCACAATCATGTCTGATGGCTTCCTGTTGCCTGCATAGTATTAAAACCCTAATTCTGAGTTTAATAATTGTTTTTAAGAAACTGATTTAGTTCTTCCAATTCTCTTATTCAAACAGTTTCTCATAAAACTTCACCACTATTTACTAAACATTAAGGACTAGGCATTCATAAATAATAAATACATTAAGCTCTCATTACCAGGGTTTGTTTATGCACCCCAAAGTCAGCACAGACACCACAGAGCAAATACTGAATGGTTCGGCTGGTGGGAAGATGAGGCCTCTTCCTAGGAGCCTCTGGCCCAGCATTTTCACTAATCCATCACATATACCCTGTTCTGTGTAAGCTTTCAAAATGAAATCTTACTGGATAAACATCGTGCAGCACTATATAAAACTCAAACGAAGTTCACCAAACATAAATGTTTGAAAGGTACACTACAGCTTTCTGTAGCTTACAGACTCTGAATAGATAGTCCTTCAGGACTCCTCTTAAGGGCATTTGATGACATCATCACCAATCCAAAGCACAAAGATGCACAAACATGGCATAAATAGAACATTTGTTTACAGGGTAAGAGCTGAAGCATTGTGAGACACACCAGTGATTGCCAGCATTGGGTAGGCTGAGGCAGGAGGGCTGTGAGATCCCATGGAATAATAATCTAAAAAAAAGGCAGAGGCCCACCTTTCCCGACCTTAGCTAGAAACATGCTCTGGACAGCTCAGAAATTTTCAGTGTCCTCCTGTGTCCAAACCTCAGAGCTAAGGATATTCATAACTTTTAAAGACTTTTATTTCACTTTTAATTACAAGGGGTAGGCGCACATAAGTGCAGTTGTCTTTGAAGGCCAGAGGCATCAGATCCACATGGAGTTGCATTACAAGTTGGTTGAGCCAATGTGAGTGCTGAGAAGTGAATTCAGGTCCTTTCCAAGAGCATCTCTCCAGTCCCTGTGATCTTTATTTATAAATAGAGTACAGTGGTTCATCAACACAGAATCTTCAGATGAGGAGGAATGCCTGCATGTTAATTGTCCTTCAAGGAAATACAGTCTCATGAGGGACTAGGGATCATTGTTGTAATCCAAGCAAACACGGCTCCGCCCCTTGGGAACCTGGCACACCCATCTGGGGCATGACAGCTTACAAACCTTGACCCATTAAGAGGAGAACTCCACCCTCCTCCCTCTCTCTTCTTCTGTTCTCTCTCTGAGGAGACAACTCTTTTTGTCTCTCTCCCTGTGTCTGTGTATCTCTGTCACTATCACTTCTTTCTTTCCTTCCCTTATTTTCTTACCCCCAGTAAACTTTCATAAAAGGCGTGTCTGCAGGTCTGTTTTCCCACCCGCTGCGTCTCTCACCCATCTTGGTTCCCTCCTTCTGCTGTGGGACCCACCAAGGTTCCCAAGCGCCATATTCACCTTGCTAACAACCATTGCTGTGCGTGCATGTGCGCCAAGTAAAGAGAGAGGGTGCTATGCCAAGGCCACAGGAAAGCTGCTCTCCACTTACAGTGCCCCTGTGAGCCGATATCCAAGGCCCATGAGAAAGTCACCTGAAAATCTCAGACTTGGGAGCCTGAAATTGCAGGATCTGGAGTTCCAGGCCATTGTGGGCTACAGAGCAGACCCTGTCCTCAACACAAACATAAGAAAGTAAAACAATACAAACAAATAAACAAACCTGCCTTTAGGCCTTCTGGCTTCCTGTTAAGCTTTTGTAAGAATCCCCCTGCTTTCCCGGAGTCCAAGCACAGCGCTTTGCCTGTAGTGATGTGTTCTCTACTCCAGCACGAGGTGACCTCCCTGGTAGAGGCATTCTATATGGTTTGCCATGCACAAGGCTGTGACCACAGTCTGAGGACACTGGTTAAGCAGATCTGAAACAGAACTGTCTTTGCTTATTTCTTTTTTCAGTAAACCAGAAAAATATCTCCCAACACCAGCGCATTCCTTCAAAAACCTCACACTGGCAAAGCACATGGTTCCATTCTAACCAGTAATGTTTTTATTTGAAACTGTCTCTAGATTGAGCACATATTTACACCGAGTTTTTTGCAAGTTTATTGCTTCTTGTGGAGCAATGATGGCCTCACAGGTGATATTAATTTCAATAACTACTCACTTTCCATGCATTTACCCACTTTTTGCAGCTCTTAAATTTGACTGCCAGCTTGCTTTGAATTTGCTTCCAAAGGTACTAGCTCTCCTCACTCCTATATGAAGGGAATTTTATCGTTATCGCTTGACATCATAAAACAAAGCTTACCTATGCCTTTCCAAGCTTGTCTGTTTTACCATGGAAATCAAACTGTTGGCAGCATAATAGCACTAGGGAGATAGCTAGATGTTCAATTTCTGGCTTTCTTTTTAGTTAATAGCAATCCTGGGTTTGGCGGCACACACCTGCAGCTCCAGTACTTGGGAGATGAAAGCAAGAGGATCAGGTGTTCAAGATCTTCAGCTGTGTAGAGCATATGCGGCCAGCCTGAAGTAAATGAGACCCAGTCTCAATCCACATACCGCCCCCAGCAAAAAATGGACAAACAAAAAGCCAAAATTAGAAAAAGATGCAGCTGCTTCTGTCTCCTTGCTTCCTGTGTCGTGTTACCAGGACTGGAAGATGTCTGACTGACATCCGTGCCCACCAAGGCCACAGATATAAACAATTGGTTTTGTATCATGGGGCATGGGCAAGGCTATTGGTTCTTTCTGGGAAAACCAATGTATTTTGAAATCATAATGTTGCATGCTTTGTAAAATGTTACAGTAAGAGATGCTTCATTGCCCAGTCTCCAAAGCTAAGCTTTTCGGTTAGTTATGTTGGTGACCCTCAGAGCTCCATGAAATGAAGATGTGTTTCTCTTTCCATCCAGTAGGTCGTCCTGACAGGCGCTGTCCCAATAGTCTGTCTGTATCATGCAGCACTGGCATTTTGTAATACTCATCTAACAGAATTGTTTTATTGGAAATTGCGAAACAGAGGCTTTCCCCAGTTTCTCAGCCTGAACAGCTGACATTCCACAGTTCCTCTCATCAACTACAGCTTTCCCAAACTCCTCAAATGGACCATGAGTATTTCACCCTTTTGTTTTAGTGCCAATTGTGATTACTTACTCCTGTGAGCTGACTTCTTAACTCTTCATTACTTACATTTCATGTTATTAAATCTATCACTTATTTACTTTAGGATTTTAATCTTTAGCATATCTTCAGAATAGGCTTTCATGCTTCCAAATAACAAAATTTTTATTTTGTATTTTATATATTACTCTACCCTTAATTGATTAATTACTTGAATTTTCTTTAATCATTGATTTTATCCTAAAATTTAATAGTTGATTATATAGACAGTACCAGCTGTACAAATTGTGTGTATATATACATGTATATTATTTGTAGTTCTGTTATGACTGTGTGGGGCTTAATGGTGCATGTATGAACTCTATAACCTACTGATTATATATTCCTTATTCTTGACTACAAATTTATATAATTAAACTCTCTGCATCACCACCATCCCCAGTGTGTAATGAATAAACAGGAATT